TAGTAGTTTTTCTTTTAAAAACATAGCTATTTATAATGCTCCCTAAATAATAAAAAAAATAAATTACAGTGAAAGCAATAAACTAAATAACAGTAAACCTTTTTTTAATTTACGGTATTTTCCTATTTTGATGTTTTGAGCTCTATTGTGTTTAGAAGAATATATACTAATTTTTAAAGTATCAAATTGAATTTTTATTCAATAAAAATCTTTCAAATGCGACAGTAGCTTTTTTTTCCCCAAAACTTTGTCTTCAAAATAAGGGTGCGTCTTATATTCTGAAAAATACGGTATGTAATGTTCCAAGTTTTTATTTACTTAGTGACTAAGTTCAAGGCCGAGTAGACATAGGACTTAAACATACGTACAGGAAATAACTTGTTGGAAATTTTAGATAATTTGTAAGAAATCCCACGATGATACAACTTATGTTTGAAGAGCACTCAAAAATATTTGATAGCCTATAGATAACAATTTTTCTTTTTCTTTTTTCTTCAAGGCCAAACTGAAGAAGAAAGGTTCACGTTTCGAAAGCGCTAGGGTTACAGAGTTTGAACCTACGTGTTTTTCTGACATCATGATTACTTTCTGCCATGGCGGATTGAACTTACGAAAGTTTGGTTGAGCCTCATTTTGATACAGTATTATGTATTCGCACGTCCTACTCAGTGTCAGTAGAATCTGACTCGATTCATTAACGCGTCAAAGAATCTGTTAACTTTAATCTACAGTTTCTATGGCGGTTAATTTTTGAGTTACGTTTACGTCACCAATGTAATCGTAGTTAGAACCTCTGATGAACTTTGTTGATTAGAACGTGTATAATTTTGTAGATCGAAAGTTGCAATCACTGCAATAATTAATATCTTAGTTTAAACAGAAATTATGAAAGTTAGAAATCAGCTGAGGTGATGTACGTTATCGTAATTTACGAAGATATAAAGAAAAATCACAATAAGAAGTTAAATCGTACAACTTTATCTCTTTCACTTTGATTAATGATGTTGGTATGGAAACAATAAACATTTAAATATACGTTTTATATTGTTGGCAGTAGATAAAGATATTATCTCAGGCCAAATGTATCTTATACTAGAAAACTAGTAACGATGAATTTATACATGCGTTGTGATACTTTCAGTAGTTGACAAATACAGTA